CAATTAGGGTGCTCCTTACAGACAAGGATGGTGAAGCTTCATCTCACATGCTTCGGTCATGTTGTTTACTGTAAGTGGAAAAAGACATCATTTTGGGAAAGGTCTTGGATCTGAAAGAGGAAGACCCTCACAGGATGGTTTGACACAGTGGCTGTGACAAGAAGCATGTTGGAGCGTGTGAGGATGGTATAGGATGGGACAGGGTTCAGAACTGTTGTTTATAAGGCCACTTATCAACTTGACTGCACAGAACAACAGCACACAAGTTACCTGGGGAACATTGTCCCCCTGTGTCCATCCCTGGCATTACAGGGAAAAGAAATAAATATACGTTTTCACCACTGACCTGCCTTCAAGATTACAAGGCTTGAGAGCAAGCAGTTACCTCTAAGAAGGCCCCAGGGGTCTCCTGGAGAAGCTAACAGGAGCTATGAAAATGTTCTCTCTTTTGTCTCCATAATGTCCCACCTGGGAAATTATCCTTGGGCAGTAATTCAGGAAGAAAAAAAAATTATATGCATCAAGATGTTTATAGTATTGGCCTTGGTTGCTAAAAGATAGTTCAGGGAGAAAGTGAGCATGCGCCAGAGGCAAATGAACCAGCCTGTGGTGCTGCTTCACCTCAGAGGCATTCAGCTCGGAAGGAGCAGACGGTGTGACTCAGTGGTCAGCAAAACACGCCCCCACCCATCCACGCAGTGAACCAACCCACTCACTGCCTTTGAGCTGATTCCAACTTATGGCTCCTCTTCACTGACTTTCAAGACTGTACGTTTTTCCAAGAGAAGTCTGCTCATCTCTCCCTCCTGAAGTAGCAGCTGATGGATTAGAACTGTTGACTTTTTGGTTAGCAGTGTAGCACATAATACAGTAGACCACCACAGCTTATCCCCAGTGAAAAACACTCACAAAACCCCTCCAACTCACTGCTGACAAGCCAGCCCCTACTCGTAGCAGCCCTCCCTTCTGTTTCTGAGGCTGTCGGTTACAATGGGAGGAGACTGCCCATCTTTCCTCCATGGAGGTGCTGGTAGATTCTAATCACCAGAGACACCTGGCCTTGGAGTTAGCAGTGCACCTTGCAACAGAATTTACCTTCAGTGCTCCCTGCGGAAAAGCCCAACACTCTTAATCATGCAGTATAATTTGAAAATAATACGAAGAGACTCAGAAGCAAAATCCTCTTCTGTCGTATCAATTCTGGCCCATAGAGACCCTACAGGACAAAGAAAGACGGCCCTCTGTGCTCTCTGAAATGGTTACTCCTTACGTTCGTCATTTTCCCCTCTCCTCATTTTCCTCCTTATCGTTATTAACCCACAGCCATCAAGTCAGCTTCAACTCATAGCAACCCTCCTTTGGATTTCCAAGGCTGTAAATCTTTACAGGAGCAGGCCACCTCAGCTTTTGAACTTTGGACCTTTTGAGTAAGCCTAATGCTTAGACTACAGTGCCACCAAAGATGAAGAACCTCAGGGTGTCTAAATAAGACTCATTTTTCTGACCAGGTAAAGAGAGTGTGGATGCTGCTTTTGTGGGCTTCCTCTGCCCCATTACTTTAAAAAAAAAAGAATATAAGTCATTTTCCTTTACATTAGGGCACCAGCGTAAAGAAGAAATCTTTCTGATTGTCGCAGCTCTTACTGCTGTTCATCGGGTGTTTTCTGGTGTTCCTCCCTCTTGGCACATGGCACATTTTACTTTGACTTGTTTTGTTCAATGAGCAAAAGTGCTCACAGGAGGAGCACATAAGTGCTGGTCCAAGACACCCCAGGGCTCTTGTTCCAACTCTGGTTTAGCAAGACGAAGACGATGGCCCCTTCATCCAGATGGACCCCCGAGTGACTGCAGTGAACAGAGCCCTCTGCTGATTCACAATAGACACGGAACATAAGAAAGACACAGAGAATGTTGTCTTAAGCTTTGGGGCGGTTCGAGATTGTTGGTTACAGCAGCAGAACCTAGCTGCTGCTTCCTGGAGACAGTGTGGGGAAGATGCCAGGATTCTGCATCTTTTCGACAGAAGATATGGAATAGGGAAGTGCATCCCAGATGCTTAACTACTCCTATCCCTTTTGCCAAAATGTTACCTACCTCTGCCAGCTTCTACATCATCTTCTTCAACAAGCCACATAGTTCCAGGAGAACCGGAAGCCATGAAGAAGGCCATCCAATCATCATCAATCCAAATTAGGGCTGAGAAATGACGGCAGGTCCGTAGACGACAGATGAGTCATCCTTTCTGCCCAATGACTGGAGGCATCTCCGGCCACTTGCTGTTGTATATTGTAAGCATATGAATCAGTCTTTTGACATTTACTGAAACAACTTTCCCATACATCAGAGTCCTCTTTATGTACTGGGTGGACCAGCGCCTGAGTGTCTCCCATTCAACCCCACAGAGTCTCTTCAAGGGAACCTCTTTCTTACCTAATTACCAGGAACATGGTTCCCTGATGATCAAGAAAGTCAGAATGCCTGGGTCAGACTCTCAGTTCTCCCACACTCCAGCTTTTTTAATCATTATCACAGCACGTAGGTGGACCTCAGTTATCTCAGCTGTGAAATGAGACTAATAATATTTACCTCCTAAGATTGGTTTGAATGTTAAAGGATTGATGCCTACAAAGGACTCCATACAATTCCTGGGAGAATATGTTGTTTACAGCTTTTGTGTCCCAATCCTCAGTTATCGTGAACGCATCTTGATCGCATGGCTGGTCCATTTTGGACTGCATGCTTTGGTAAACATCTTCAATTTCCTCCTCTTTGGCTTTAGCTAAAAGAGTGTATATTTGAATGATACTCATATTAACAGTCAACACTCTTGGTAACAGCAGCCAGGAAATCAGGAGACGAATTGCATTGGGAAAGTCGGCTGTGAGGGACCTCTCAAGAGTACTGAAGAGCAATGATGTCAGGCTGGAGACTAAGGTGTGCCTGATCCGGGCTGTAGTCTTCGCAATTATGTGCTATGCATCAGAGAGTTGGACGGTGAATAGGGTTGATAGAAAGACGATTGATGCCTTTGAGCTGTGGTGCTGGAGATGAGTGTTGAATATACCATGGACTGCTAGGAGAACAAACAGGTTTGTCCTGGAGAGGGTGAAGCCAGAGTGTTCCCTGGAGTCAAGGATTCTGAAGCTTTATCTGACATATTTTGGGCATGTTGCAAGGAGGGACTGGTCCTTAGAGAGGGACATCATGTTTGGCAGAGTGGAGGGGTGGCAAAGGAGAGGAAGACCTTTGATGAGATGGATCGATTCTGTGACTGGAGTGGTGGGAATAAGTGCGTTTGAGATGGCTAGGTTGGCACAGGATAGAACAGTGTTTAGGGCTCTCATACATAGGGTCGCTATGAGTCGCAAGTGACTTGATGGCACATAACAACAACAACATATTAACAGATCTTCTTTGTATGTATATGGATAATGTTCTATCATTCACAACATTGTCTTTTGGGATAGAACTTGAAATGGTCTTTTTAACTATGTCTGGGACACCATTCTTCTGTTTTACATTCCAAGCGTAAGTATATCAAGTGATGGTTTGAGTCAAAGTGGCCAAAGCTAGTCCATCTCCTCTCCCTAGTGCCTGGAATGTCTGTGTTCATGCATCTGCCATTTCATTTTTTCACAACATCTAGTGTTCCAACATTCACGGTATTCCATACGTCCCATGTCCCACCTACGAAAGGAGTTGATTGACTTCCACGTGAGGATAAAACCTCCTTCTCGAAATGGGAAAAGTGCCTTTGAGATGCAGAACTCACTTGTCTACGGCCATCCTGGAAGGAATGACAAGTCTAGCATTCAAAATCACTTCATTTTAAAGCCATCACATGTGCACACTCTCACGCGTGTGCATGTCTCACACATGTGCACATGCGCACACACTCACACACCCCTCAAATGTATTCTTGCATCCCCTTGTAAATACAGTCATATCTCTGAAATACTGCAGATTCAGGAGCAGGACCCTGTAAAGAAAGCAAATACGGCGGTACAGCAAGTCACATGAATGTGTGTTATTTCCCAGGACACATGTCACATTCACACTCTGCTGCAGCCTGTGAAATATATAAAGCGTTAAGGAAAAGCTTAAGGTATAAAAACCACCAAGTGTTACAGAGACACAGTGGCCGTTAGACTTGCATAATGCATATTGCTACAAATCTTCGGTTTATGTGTGTGGAGGGTGTGTGTGTGTGTGTGTGTGTACGCACACACACGTAATCAAAGTGTAATAAGGCAAAGTATATGCCTGTATTGGAATTGTCAGCCCAGGAGAAGACGACCAGGCAGGAGCGGAGTGGACATGAAGTGTCCGTGCCTGCCCCCTTGACAACCTCCTTCTCTCTAGAAATGTCAGCCCACCTCACAGCACCTCTCTGCTCTGCCGGAGGGACCTCTGGGTGGACCCCTGGGCTGGGAGAGTCTCCTCTACATGTTCTGAAATCTGACTCACCCCGTGTTCAAAATTCAAAAAAACATTCTCTACCTTCGAAACACAAAGCCATCTGTAACCTAACTTGATCATAATTAGAATTTTTTAGCACATAATCACAAGATTAATGGATTAATTAGAATTTGCTTGCAAATCATTAAAAGCATTACTCCAAAACGTTCCCGTTAAAAGATTGTTTCGGGCTGCTTAGGGCAAGATAATGAAAGGGACAGAGGAAAAATGAAAGACACACAGCCGCCAACCTAATTAAAGATGATCAGATTAAACTCAGGAGCTGACAGCTCGCTCCATAGCCCCAAGGTGTGCTGAGACAGCATTGTGCCTGTCGGTGCTGAGCTGGGTCCCCGAGTACCTGTTCATGAACTGGAAGGTTGGCTCCCATTCACAGGGACCATGCGTGGGACAGAGTGAAACCCTGCTCGATTGCACACCACCCTCACTGTCTCTGCCATGCTGAAACCCATCACTATGGCCACTGTGTCAAGGACATGGTCCCCCTAACTGTCTTCCCATCTTGTTCTTTACTGAAACAGCCTCCCTTTGACGGTGAAGATGAAGATGAACTCTTCCAGTCTATAATGGAGCATAACGTTTCCTATCCGAAATCCTTGTCCAAGGAGGCCGTTTCCATCTGCAAAGGAGTAAGTAGACTTGTCCTTTCCTGATGGTCGACGAAGGGGGAGCACAGGGCCAGAATGCCTTCCCCACAACCCAGAGGGGGATAGAAATGCCACAAACCCATGCTACCCACTGCTGTCCAGCCACTGAGGGCTAGAACATGCTGATTACAGGTGGGTTGGAGACAGGGGAACAGAGAGCTGGAGGGGGGCTCACATGTCAATGACACCGTGAGAGCTAGAGAACCAGGTTGGCCTCCAGTGGATTCCAACATGGCGAGCACATTTTCTGTCAGCATAGACCTGCATGCCATATGGTGATTGGTGGGGTTTTTTTGATGGTAGATTACAAAGCATTTCTCCCAGGTTGCCTCTGGGCGGTTCTAAGCCACCAGCTTTCTGCATAAAAACCAAGCATTTAACCGTTTGCATCAGTGGAGACTCCACAGTTGAGGGGCACCTTTGAGTTGGTGTTGACTCATTGAAACCCCATGAGACAGACTAGAACTGCCCCATAGGATTTCTTAGACTGGAATCTTTGTGGGAGCAGATCACCAGGCCTTTTCTTCTGGGGAACCTCTGCGTGGGTTTGAACCACCAACCTTTTGGTTAGCAGTCAAGAGCTTAGCCATTGATGCCAGTAATTAACCCTACAATGTTGTTGTTTTGTTGTTACATACCATTGAGTTGGAACCAACTCGTAGCTGACCCTTCAGTGGTTTTTTCAGAGGCAGTAAATCACACGGGAGGAGAGTGCCTCTCTTTCTCCCCTAAAGCCACTGGTGGGCTTAAACCACCTGCCTTTTGGGTTGGTAGCACATCTCCTTACCATTAATCCACCAGAGCTCCCTAACCCTACAATAGGCATGATCAAGTTACTAATCTCCATTGATATAAACACCATTTATCTCTCTAACCCAGGAGCCTTTATTGATAGCATTGTGACCCAGACAATACATATGAAGCTTCTCAGCCCCTTTGCTGACGGGCATTATAAAAACCCGCCATTTTCAGTGCTTGACTCTTTTACCAAATGCACGTGTGGTGTGGCAGCTTTTAAAACACTGGAGTAAAAAGAGGCCTATGTGGTTCTTAAAGAGCCCTGATGGCACAAAGTTTAAATACTCAGTTGATAACCCAAAGGTCAGAGGTTCGAACTCACTGGCCCCTCTTCCAGAGAAAGCTTTGACAGCCTGCTTCCATAATTTACAGCCTCTGGAAATAGGCCGTTCCGCCGGGTCCTGTAGGGTCCCTGTGCATTGACATGGACTTGACAGTAGGGGCGTCATTCTTTTAAGTTTGCCATTCCCCCTCCCCAGCAGGGCCTTCTCTACTTCCTTGTGAAAAGCCCACAGAAAAGGCCACGGATGTCACGTCACCTTCCTGACTCGGCTTGACTCCTGTGTGAGCCGCTGAGCAGACTTCTGACTGGATCCACGCCCAGTCAGAACAGAGTCCGAGCTGGGCAAGGGGGAGCCCCTGTCCCTGCAAAGGTCTCACCACCCTGCTTTCTCTTCCCCTCTCACTTTGTAGCTGATGACGAAACACCCCGCCAAGCGGCTGGGCTGTGGGCTGGAGGGCGAGAGGGACGTGAGAGAGCATGCTTTCTTCCGGAGAATCGACTGGGAGAAGCTGGAGAACCGGGAGATCCAGCCGCCCTTCAAACCCAAAGTGGTGAGTCTGCAGCATGGTCGCATGCATCCCACCCACCCCTTTCCTGACACCCCAGCCACCCCGGCCTCCGCAGGGCAGACGAAGACACCAACCTCACCCTCAATCCCAGGACCTTCCTGCTGACTTTGGAGTCAGGACTGGAAGCCAGGGAGGGGGCCATGCCCCCCTATAGAGCTATTATAGAACACGCCCCAAAATGTTAAGCAGCCAAGCAGGTCAGCTTGGGGCTTCCTCTGTGGGAGTGCTGGCCCATTGGATCTGTGTTCCCTTGCTCAGAAGCCATTGGGGTGTGGGACTCCAAAGCTGTCCCCACCTTTCCGGAAGTGTCCGTGCACTGAAGTGTGAACTAAATCTCAGGCCACCGTGGGCAGGCCCTGGACATGGTCCCTTGTTGATGAAGTGAGCACATCTACGCCCACTGCCGTTTCTAACCTCACCACGCATGCTCTCACTCCCCACTGCTTCCTGTCATGTCCCTGTGTTTTGCAAACACTGTACCAGCCAGGTTCTTGGTGGCACCCACATGATGGAGTCGGGCCTCACCATGAGGTGTTCAGGCTGTCGTCTCTAAGGGAGCAGGTGGTCTGCAAAACACATACTATTGCTCCTCGTTTACAGTTAAGAAAACGGAGGCACAGAGAGGCTGAGGAACCTGCCCAAAGACACACAGCCAGAGGGTATAATAGCATCTAAGATTCAAACCCTGGAAGGCAGGGTGTGGAGTCTGTGTTCTCCATTGTTCCTTGTTGATGGCAGCCCAGTGACTGGTTGCTGGCAGCCACTGTCTGCCTTCCTCAATGCTTTCATTTCTAAAGGTAAACTAAGATTCCTCAAGATGTCCCCACTTCACGCACATCAGTCCCCACTGTTCACCAGTCGAGCCCCCTTTTCCCTGCAGCCCAGTGAGATTCAGACAGTCCTGGTCCTTTGGGCTCTGCCCATGTTGAGTGTTGGCTCATCATCACCAGCAGGGTCTCACTTCGCTCCAAAACTGCAGAGAGAACGCCCCTCTCTCCCACCTTCAGTTCCAGAATCCTCCGCCGGGTTGGTTCGGCCCAGATCTGTCTCCTCTGATGGGGCCGCCACCAGCGGGCAGCAGGGACACTCCGTGGTGCAGAGCCGCCTGCCTGGGTGGCTCTTGGCTTTATTCTTGGAACAGTGACTGGCCCTCCGACGTGCTCGTGTGCCCTCTGCTCCAAGAATAAAACTGCTGTTGGTGAACCCATTTGATTTTCCTTTCGCAAAATATTTTTAGCCCAAACTGAAGAAAAACTAAAATTAAGCAGGTCAGTTGACTTCCTCCTGAATCATCATTTCACGTACCTGCCACACCCACCTCCCCTTTAACTAGACCAGGACGTCAATTTCAGGGTCTTTGGGGTTTGTGCTGTGTTCAGGTTTCAAACTCAGGGACCTCATCTAAGGAGGGGGGTCAAGACAGTGATAAATGATGCTGTTGACAGTTTCAGGGAACATTGTATTAGAGAGATTTTATTTTCCTTTTGCCTTTCCAACCTATTTGGCCTCCTTAAATTGGACTTTGAGCAGTTGGCAATGACGTCTTAAACACAGCTTAGTCTCATTATAGGAACTATCTAGAGATACAACATGACCCCACGTTAAGGGTTGAGCAAAACGTAGTTCCTTGTCAAATGCTTTCCAGAAAAAAAAACCCAAAATTACTGCAGAGCCGGCCTTAAGGCAAGGATTTTGCTCTTGATTCCTGCCGTATTTTCCAGAAGAAGCTGTGTCTTTGCAGCACCTCCCATTGTCCGTGAATTCTGTGGCTCTAATCCATGCATTGGGAAAAGGGTTCAGGGACAAGAAGGTACCCTGATCCTTGTGTAAGTGGTTCCTGCGGCCGTTAAAATCACTGCAAGAATGCCAAGTCACGCCCACACCGGCAGATGAACTGTGGGCTGTGTGTTGATTCATTTACTCCTGGAGTGTTGCTGTTTTATTTTGTTTTGTTTTCAACTGAGTATTGGTTAAAATTAAAAAGAACAGACAACCTCTGGTGGTAAAGCGGCACCCACAGATCTTAGAGAAGCAGGAAGCACAGACCAGGTCCTAAGATGAGGAGTTTCTCATTATCTAAGATTCAAGGATTCATCTCTATTCATCTGGAGCAAACGAGACAGAAGGAAACCCAAGAATCAGAGGGGTAACTGTCTTCTAGTGTCACTACCTCCACCTTGAGACCAGAGGAACTAGAAGGTGCCCAGCTACCACTGGTAGAAAGGGAGGAAAATGTGGAACAGAACTTCAGTTTCTTAAATAATTCAGACATACTGGGCCCACTGATACTAAAGAAATCTTCAAAACTATCCCCTGAAATGCCTTTTAAATTAAACAACAGTTCAACTTTAAAAAGTAAAGAATGTCACACTCATCAGTCTTGTTGTTATTATGTACTGTAGAGTCGAAACCGACTCATAGCTGACCCTCCAGCAGGTTTTCAGAGGCAGTTAATCACACGGGAGGTGATTGCTCACCCTTCTCCTATGGGGCAGCTGGTGGCCTTGAACCGTGTGCCTTCAGGATTGCAGTGCAGCTTCTTGCCACTAGGCCAACAGAGCTTCCTTTTTTTAAACAAAGTACTCTTTTGAAAAAAAGTTATCCATATGAGACCAAATGGACAAGAGTTACCTTAAAGCATACGTGAGAAGTTTTGAGGGCAGTGAAACGAAGTTAATGGGGGTGAGACAACTAGAACGGAAATAATGAGAATGTTGACACAATGGAGCAAACACAGCCAATGTCAATGTCACTGAACATTATAGAAATTGTTGAATGGGAGCATCTTGTGTGTATTTTCACACACACACACAATATAAAAATGTTTAAAAGAAAGAAAAAAGGGAACTTTCCAGTGAAAGGCCAAGCCTGATGAGAGAGAGCTCAAGAGAGGCCTGGGCTCCTCCCAGCGAGATCTCTTGAGCTAAAGCCTGACTTTCCTGGATGGAGGACCCATACAAAAAAACAGGAAGAAAAGTGGACCGAAGACTGCAACAGGATGAGGAGAAGGGAATAGTCGGAAAGATTTCAAATACAACACACAGCTACTGGTCCCTCCTTCATCAGAGCAAAAGAGAAAGAAGGAAGCCAAAGACTCCAAGAAGAAACGAGTCTCCAGGATTAAGAGTCTGCACAGACCCCAGCTCCATCTGTTGTGAGACCAGAAGAACTAGATAGTGCCCAGCTGCCCATTTAATCATGGCCACAGAGATGAATCCTGGTAGAATGGGAGGAAAATGTAGACCAGACCCCCAATTCTTGAAAAATAATACAGACTTAGAAGGTTAGTTGAGACTGAAGATCTCACCAAGACTTGACTAAGGATGCACTTTAAACCTTGAACTGAAACTTGTCTCTGGGGTCATCTTTGAGCAAAATAGCAGACTGGCCCACAAAATAAAGACTATCATCTATGCATCTTATGCCATTATATGAGACATCTCAACGTCAAGAGAGCAAAAATTCTTACCTGAACCAGTAGACACCATCATGACAGATGGAGAAAAGATTGAAGCTGTCAACAATTTCATTTTACTTGAATCCACCATTAAGACCCATGCGAATAGCTGTCAGGAAATAGAAAACCAAATGTGTTTCTTTGAAAACTCTACTGTCAAGGACCTCTCCAAAGTGCTGAAGAGCCACAGGGTTTGTTTAAAGGCCAATGGGTGCCTGATCGAAGCAACAGTATTTTTCATTTGCTTCCTATGTATCTGAAAGTTGGGCAATGAATAAGAAAGACCAAAGAAGAATCGATGCCTTTGAACTGGGGTGTTGGCAAAAAGCACTAAATATCCCATCGACCAAAAAACTGTTCCAAATAAATCCATTTTGGAAAAATGAAGCCAGGGTGTTCCTTAGAGACAAGGAAGGTGAAACTCCCTCTCACATATTTGAGGCGTGTCATCCAGGATCATCCTTGGAAAAGACATCATTTTGGAAAAGGAGGTAGGAGGGCCAGAGAATGAAAGGAAGACCGTCAGCATTAGAGATTGTCAGAGAGACTGGAACAGTGGGCTCAAGCATGGCAGAGACCATGAAGATGATTTTGGTCTGGCGTCCATGGGGTCACTTGGAATTATATTATGTAGTTAACTCAGCAGCACACAACAATAACAACAACAACAGATAAGGACACAGCAGTCAAGAATTACTTTAAAACAAAGATGAAGAGGTAAGGGGACAGGGGTCCTAGCTTGATGACAGTGGCATAAGGAATGAGGTTTGCACATTGTGAAGACTTGAGCCAAACTCATCAAACGATCTGTGTAAAAACCACTGAATGGGAACCCAAATTGCTGCGCAAACCTTTACCAAAAAAAAAAACACCTGAAACCCCCAAACAACCCACAATGAAATAGTTTTCTTTTATTTCATATTTACAATAAAATTATAATCAAGTGACTGTGGAGTGAGTGGTAGATATTTTGCTGCAAAGCCGAGACAAAGAGATCAATGGGGCAGGTCCGAAAGCTTGGAGGGCAGTCAAGAGCATCTTTCTCAGTCTCCCCAGCCTCCCTGGCATGTGGGTACCCAGCCCCAGAATGGAACACTTCATCTCAGACCCAGGGGCATCTCATGACAGGACACACGTCATGTCCTACTTCTATGATGCCATCCTGAGGCTGGAAGGCCACACACCAAGAACAATTCCAGTGATACAAGAAAACAGTCACAGCAAGAGACAGCGACAGAAATCAAAGGCCAGGTAGGCGCAAAGTGCACCGCCATTAACACAGAGTCAACAAGCTGAGCTGCATATAAAAACCGTCCTAGGACGTGGCTTCCCAACTTCCTCCATGAGGGTGGAGTTCCCTGATCCAGAGCTAATTGAAAAGTCAACTGTGTTTACAGATAAAATACAGAGCTGGGTTTTTCTCTGACAGGCAGTTGTGTCATTTCAAAGAAAAACTCAGCCACACAAGCTGGATTACCGCTGTTGAAAAAAAACAACACAAACCAATCATCAAGCAAACTGACAC